TAAATAACACTTAAACATTTAAAAACAGCATTTCAAGAACTGTTTTAATGCTATTTATCCATAATAACAATCCTTTTTAAGCAACAAAAGATAGATTCTTCCTATCATTTAGTCTTGAGTTGGAATGACTGCAATAATGTTTGTATATTTGTTCTTTCTTAATCTTGCTTGGCATGATCTGTGAGTCGCGTAATTCTAGGATTGAGATGTAAACATAGTACTGGCTGTTGTTGGTTACTAGGCAACCTATTCTAGTAATTGGACCGTCTCGAAATTGCTCCTTATTTAGGGGCCACACCCGACGAAATTATGCTTACATTACCATTTATAACCACCACTTGATTATCATATTATATCAATGAACCTCCCTCAGCCAGATTTTGTTTTGTTCCTTAATTTGGAAATTTGTTCTATATGAATCTGGGAGTCTGATAATTTTTTCTGTGAGTTAAAAAGGAATAAAAATAGGACCGATTCGAAATGTGGAAAATCTTGATACTCACATAGTTGTTTTAGTGAATGTTCGAAACATTTATTATACCCCATTTTATTTTAATGATATCCGAAGGATATTGATATTTTAAAAGCAGAGAAAAAGCGCAATCGAAATCTAACGACACTTTGGAGGACTGGAAATATCGAAACCGTTTGGATTGCTAAAGTAAACAAATATTTGAAAGTCAATTATTAGAAACACCTCTTGAGTTCCATACGGCAATCAAACTGGTTTTGACCTCTGTTATTCCTAATATCTTCTCTAATGATTCGACGAATTTTGATAGCGTTTTTGTTTCTTGTTTAATTGTTGATTTGAAACTCTTAATATGAGTATTTCGTTACTTCATTTTTTTCTACTATGATTTTAGAATTCTATTTTAAAAGCGGTGATTAAGAAACAAAATGTATAAAGGATATATACCTTGAGCTCAATATACAGTACACTCTCGATTATCCGTGCGCGGATTATCCAGTTTACGGATTTTCCGTGCTCATTCCGGAGTCACACAAAAAATATAAAGAGAAACATTTTCAAGATTAAAAAAATTTGATTCATGAAGTTATAACACTACGAAATTTTTGGAAGCAATATTCGTTATTGGATTGTAGTATTACAATCCAATACATGTAGTATTACAGTATATGGAATATCAGCAGCATGGTCAAAGGTAAAATCGTCTACGTTATCACGATCTTGGAGAAAGATCATAGCGCTTGATGAACAATCCGCTTCAGATGTTCAAGAAAAATATGATAACAGTATTCTCGAACAAGCAAAAGAAATCTAAGGTTTCGAAATTCTTGATGAAGAAAATTTAGAAGATTGGTTTCAAAGTGATGCATGTGAGCCTGGCTTCCAGTATTTGACTGATGAAGACATCGTTATGTTGTCAAATCAAATAGTGATGATAGTAACTGATGCAGAAGATGTAGTAAATGAGGGAAATACAATTTCTCATTCTGCTGCTCTGTGGAAACTTTATTAGATTATATGGGAGGATTTGATTACAGTGACATTACTGCTGTTCGTAAAATATGTGTATATGGCGAGGACGCATTACACATTTTTTAATAAGGAAAATTCCTAGTTTGATGTTATGCATGCAAATGTTAGTAGTTTTTATATTTTTTGTACTGATATTGAATTTTTCTTTAATAAAAGGAGTTTTCGGATTATCCGTGTTTTTCGATTTTCCGTGCGACCTGTCCCGGTGATTAACCCGGATAATCGGGAGTGCACTGTACTTAGACGCATTCTTGAAGGCAATGTACCTTGGCACTTGAGAACCTTGACACATTCCTGAGGACAGTATATTTTGGTATTAAGGACCTTGACACATTCCTGAGGACAGTATATTTTGGCACTTGAGGACCTTGGCACATTCCTGAGTACACTATATCTTGGCACTTGAGAACCTTGACACATTCCTGAGGACAATACATCTTGGCACTTGAGAACCCAGGCACCTTCCTGAGACTATATACTTTGGCACATTACACCAATCATTGATTTATAAAAAGAAATATCTTGAGCTTAGTACCTAAAATTTGTTTTAATTTTTACGAACTTTTTTTTTAGTTGGAAGATGGGTAGAAATTTTTCAAAATTTTACCTGTTGTTAAGAATTAACCATTAATTTGAACTTCTCCCCCTATTAATGACCGAATTTATATATTATAAATACTAATGAACTCGATGAGAAATGATTAAATGAACAAACGCATAACGCACGAAGGAAAATAGCTTCCCAGTGGCAACCTTTCTTCTTGACCCCATGTAACCTTTACTGTTAAGCGCATTTATGCAAACAAAGCCCTGTTAGAGTTTTTTTCTCTTTCCTGAAGTTATAAACAAATGGTTACATAAATCATAGGCTAAAAAATAGCTTCTCATTGATATTTAAAAATTAATGTATTTAGTGGGATGTATACTTCCCACTACCTAATAAAAGTATTAATAAGTTTTGACTGTATAATTCTGCTGTTCAACGACTTTTTATAAAATGAAATATCATATTTTCGTAATGAACTTAGTATCAATTTTAAAAGTACCTTTCATTTTTACGGATACAATTTTCGTAATTAACTTTGTATCAACTTTAAAAGTACCTTTTTTTTTACCGATACAATTTTTCGTGATTAACTTTGTATCAATTTTAAAAAAAATACCCTTCATTTTTACCTATACAGTTACAAATAACATTAAAATGGTTATTTAAATATATCGATCAATCCTATATAATTCTTTGTAGCTTAGCCGATTCTGTAACCTTTAACTTATCCTCCTCTAAATCTTATTTATTTCCCTAAAATCGTTACTTCTTTGTGTAACTACATTGTTGTTCGAAAGTATAAGATTACATTCCCACATTGCTGAACAAGCACTATAGCGACGCATGCAACTACACATCCTTGGATGTTAAACCATGAGTTATGGCCATAGGAAGGATATTGGTTTTTGCTGTTTTTTATGCTTTGTAAATCTCTCTCGTGTTATTGTCTCATAAAAATTGGTTACTTGTCCGAAACCATTACTGCTCGATCTGGTTTTTTTTTTTTTTATATATACTATATATATATTCTTTGGTTCATCTGTGAAAGATTTTCGGGGATTTGGGATGCTGAAAGGTTATTTCAAAATAAATGTGAATATTTAAATTTGCAATATTTTATGAGTTTTTAGGTATCCTTAAATCTCGTGATCAAATAAAGAACTGAGAGTTCTTTTTTAAGGTCACAGATTCGAGTTGTAGCATTAAATTTGCGTGTATTATTTGGGTACTGGCTTAGGTCTTTAAGACCAACGACCAATATTTGGTTAAAATTTATCATTTTAAAAATAATATTTTAAGAACATCTGTATGTTTTTACAAAGCGATTGTCCACGTTGCTGATCAGTTATCTTAAATTAAGTAAATATTTAAATTTGGAATATTTTTTTTTGTAACTTATGAGTTTTCGTATATCCGTAAATCTCGTGATCAAACAAAGATATTTTACTTTTATATTTATTATTGTTTTTGTATCCCTTTTTATATTTGTACCTATTTGAAATAAGAAGATGGCTCACTTGCAATATTTTTCAATAACCCAATTTTTTGTTGATAGATTTCTCAGTAGCTATCTTTTCAGGATAATCTATTTTAACTCGCACAAGATATTTTTATGACTATCCACTATTTTATTTTATTACGTGCAATATCCTTCACCCTGTAGCAATTTTTTAAATGATTACATAAATAAAAAATTTGTTGCATTTATGCAAATACTTGATCTTGTCTTATTCATGTGTGGGGATTTCAAATAAGATATTAGTTTTGCTCCTAAAGCGACAGATTTTTAAATGATTTAATTGACATTATAATTAATTTAATTGACATTATAATTAATTTAATTGACATTAATTGATTTAATTAACATTTTCAAATGATAATATTAGTCTAATTTTCGTCGAAATGTAAAACGTTACATAAAACAAGGAAACGTATAAATGTCACGACAAACTTCTAGGGGAGTTAGGGCACATCATCAGGATTTTATTTTATAACCGTCGTTGAACAACCGACCCAATTTAGGGTTTACGGCTACTAATGCTCAACTCCATAGCCTCTTAATTTTGAACCTAATCCAGAAGACAAGGGAACTCCTGGAATCCATGCCCAAAAATGTCGACGTATGCGGCCAGGGACCCGTCCTATTATAAACTTTAGCCCGTCGTACGACTCTATTGTGATTTGTTGAGAAACACACGGGGGAAAAAAACAGTTCATTATAGGAGCAGCGTCCCTAGCGGTGTATGACGACATTTTTAGTCAGGGGTTCCTATGCACAGTTTTAATCATGATGTTGTGCACTAACTCCCCTAAAAGTTTTTTCACAACATTTATGTGACCGCCTATTGTAGGTAACGTTTTCAAACTTGTACATTTCGACAAAAATGTCATTAAAAAAATTAATAAATAAACTGCACCTTGAATTGAAAAAACGATTGCAGATTTGAAATTAGTGACGGGAAAATATCCAAGATTCGTTAAAACAAAAATCGCATGCTACAGAAAAGAAAACAATAAATTTGTACATCAATGTAATCCGATATTCTATCTCGTGCAAGAAGGCTCAATATTTTAGGATAGTCTATAGTTTTAAACATATGCCAAATAGCAATGTTTTCTGCATAAACTATGTGTGTAAGATGATACATTGTTTCAATTGTTGGCACAGTCTCACCTACACCTACGATCACGATGTAAAACAAATAAATTGTATAAAAAAGAACTAAAATTAAAGAATGTTTCTAGTTGTAGTTGGATACCTGCAAATGATGTCATCGTAGGTATATCACGGCGTTTGTCTCTTTAGAAGCCAATCAGATTCGGCATTCACACGTGTGACGTCGTTTACAGCTATCCAATTGAATTTGATTTAAATCACATGGTTAGATATAATCACTTCACTTCTTTTCAAGTTGCATGTATCTATCTAATTATTTATTTTTCTTCCAGCTCCCTCTTCACGCAGATCCTCTTTGTGATAAGATAGATATAGAAGATTTAGGTATGAAATTTTTATTTATACTTCATTTAATATATAGAAAAATCGGTGCGATTTTCCATGAACGAATTAAAAGTTGTTAAAATTTCATACTTGTTAATAATATTTTTTTTTCTTCAAATTTTTAGGTGAAGATGAAAATTTAGTCTTTGTTAAGTTTTTCAAGTGTTACCGTTGTTACGATTTGATTCCAGTTAGTGCCAAACTTGTAATATTTGATACTCAATTGTTGGTAAGTTGAATTCATTTCATTTTATATGCCTTTTCAAATGTCTTGACACTAAATTTTTGTAATTTTAATGTGAGTTTGAGCGAATTAATCTTTCTTACTTTAACAAACATTCATCGTCTCAAAGTTGCGCTTGTTTTCTATTATCATTGAAAAATCACTGATTTATATTTATCTAACTTAAGGGATAATTGAAAAATTTTAAGCTTATTATTGACTTATAAACCTATCGATTGCCCCAAACATGACCGACGATTTTTTAAAAAAAAACAAAAAAAAATAGATGCTGCGTTCTGCTAAGGAAACGAATTAATTTTTTATTCTCTACATTAAAAATTCGTTACGAAATTTACTCACCGATAGCGCTTCTAGCCGAGTGAGTTATAAAACAATGTTTATCCAGCATTTGCAACATTAGCAAATATTTCGGTTGAAGTAGAATGCCATACAGCAGAAAACATTCTTTTATGTTTTTTCTCATTTATCAATTCTCATCTATGTTGTTTATTAACAACCAAGCCAGAGGTTGAATTATATCACTGAGTGGAATAAATCAATCAATCGTCGTTTGCCCCATTCCTATTGGACGATTTATATTCCAATCCCAATAGTAATCTTATTGGTGGATTTCCAGCAGAGAGGTTAGTGATGTGACATCAGCTTAGACATCTGTATTGCAATCAATTTTTAAATTTGGAAAAAATTACTCCGTTTCCAAGGCAGAAGGCAGCAAACTGTACTTTTCTATCTCTCTTTTTTTCTTCTTTTTTTTTTTAATTTATTTTTCAAATGTTCAATCCTTTTAGAACATTTGGTATTTTAATCTTAAGAGATAGTCTTGTCTTATCAACTGCAATTAATGGCAATATAATTTAATATATCCCTTTACTATAATGACTGTTACTTTTAGCAGTTTTCAACAGTTCAAAATTTTTTTCAAACTATGTCAACAGTTACTATGAATGAGTCTTTATATGGTGATTAAATGTATGAAGAAATTTTTTTTTGATTTCAGAAACAAAACAAAAAAAGAGAAAAATTTAATGTTTGAAAATTTATTTTAAAGTGGAAAATTTAAGGAAAAAAAAAACAATCTATTCACCAAAAAGTAAATAAATAAATAAAATAAAGTTTTAATTTAAAAAAGTTATGACTTTATTTTATTTATTTATTTACTTTGCTTAATAAGGTAATTTAAGCATTCCATGCCATCTCGTTTTTATGCAAAAATATATTTGGTTAATTAAATTTTGTTAAAGAAGATCAGAATTTATATTAGAATAATAATATATTATATGAAAAAAAGAATAATACAAGTTATAAAAAAGAAGAAAACCGAAATTTTTAAACAAAAAGGTTTTATTTGTATCAAGTTTTTAAAAAGAATGTGCCAGAGAATAAACAAAGGACTAGAAAACGAGATTGAAGAAAAAAAGGTAGCTTTGAAAACATTACGGAGTGATTTTTCTGTTTTCTATGTTAATTAAAATTTAAGGCTAATTTTTAACGTTTTAAAAAAAGTTTTTTAAGTTCTTTATTTATTTTTATTCTTCCAGGTTAAGAAGGCATTCTTTGCTTTAGTTCACAATGGTAATGTATCACATATGAGTTTTCGTAT